TGGCAAAGTGATGTCTCTGCTTTTTAATACACTATCTATGTTTGCCATAGCTTTCTTTCCAAGAAGCAAGCATCTTTTAATCATGTCTGCAGTCACTATCTGCAGTGATTTCGGAGCCGAAGAAAATAAAATCTGTCACTGTTTTCACTTTTTCTCCATTTGCCATGAAGTGATGGGACCAGATGCCAGGATCTTACTTTTCTGAATGTTGAGTTTTAAGCCAGCTTTTCCACTCTCCTCTTTCACCTTCATTAAGAAATTCTTTATTCCTCTTCACTTTCTGCCATTAGAGTGGTATCATCTGTATATCTGAGGTTGTTGACTTTTCTCCCTGCAATCTTGATTCCAGCTTGTGATTCATCCAGCCCAGCATTTCTCATGATGTGCTCTGCATAGCAGTTAAATAAGCAGGTGACAGTATACAGCCTTGATGTGCTTCTTTCCCAGTTTTGAACCAGTCTGTTCCATGTCCAGTTCTAACTGTTGTTTCTTGACCTGTATACAGATTTCTCAGGAGATGGGTAAGGGGATCTGGTATTCCCATCTCTTTCAGAATTTTCGTTTCTTGTGATCAACACAGTCAAAGGCTTTAGTGTAGTCAATGAAGCAGATGTTTTTGGAATTCCTTTGCTTTTTCCGTAATCCAATGGATGTTGGCAGTTGGATCTCTGGTTCCTCTGGTTCCTCCTCCTGTCTTTTCTAAATCCAATTTATACATCTGGAAGTTCTTGGTTCATATACTATTGAAGCCTAGCTTGAAGGATTTTGAGCATTACCTTGCTAGCATGTGAAATGAATGCAACTGTATGATAGTTTGAACATTCTTTGGCATTGTCCTTTTCGGATTAGAATGAAACGTGACCTCTTCCAGTCCTGTGGCCACTGCTGACTTTTCCAAATTTGCTGGCATATTGAGTGTAGCACTTTAACAGCATTATTTTCTAGGATTTGAAATAGCTCAGGTGATGGAATTCCATCACCTCTACCAGCTTTGTTTGTAAGAATGCTTCCCAAGGCCTACTTGATTTCACCCTCTAGGATGTCTGGCTCTAAGTGAGTGACCACACTATCATGGTTATCTGGGTCATTAAGACCTTTTTTGTATAGTTCTTCTGTGTATTCTTGCCAGGTTCTTAATCTCTTCTGTCTCTGTTAGGTCCTCACTGTTTCTGTCCTGATTGTGCCCATCTTTGCATGAAATGTTCCCTTACTCTCTTTAATTTGGTAAAATAGAAATAACATAAAATCTATAATTTTAACCATGTTAAGTCTTAAATTCAGTAGCAGTAAATGCATTTATATTTTTGTGCAACCATCATCACATTCCTCTTCAAAACTTTCTCATCACCTCAAACTGAAATTTCCTACCCATTAAATAGTAGCTCCCCATTCCTTTTCTTACAATCCCTGCTAACACTTTTCTACTTTCTGTCTCTATAAATTGGATTATTCTAGGGACCTCACATAAGCATGAAAGCATTAGTCGCTCAGTCATGTCCAACACTTTATGATGCCATGGACTGTGGTCCACTAGGTTCTTCTGACCATGGGATTCTCCAGGCAACAATAGTGGAGTGGACAGCCATCCCTTCTCCAGGGGATCTTCCTGATCCAGGAATTGAATCTGGGTCTCCTGCATTACAGATGGATTCTTTACCGTCTACCGTCTAAGCCACCGTTAAGTAGAATTATAAAATATTTGTCCTTTTGTGTATGTATAGGCCTCTTTTAAGGAAAAATGATACATTACAGATTTATTCTGTTGCCTGTTCTGATGTTTCAAACACACACACATGCACATGAACACATACATATATGTATGTGTAAAAGTAGGTATAGAATTGTATGTGTATAGCTCTATTTACAGGTTAGACAATTAGAAAACCAAATCTAAAAATCCACAAAATTCTATATAATTAAATTTAACATGAGAGATGATATTCTGCTAAAACAAACCCCCAAGTTGTTTAAAAATAGAAAAATTTTGGTTTTGGTTCTGTTTAGTTTTTGTCTGCATTTTGACTTTATCTTAATACAGAGAATAACTGCCTAAGTATGTTACAGGGAATGTCACTAGTAACATCGAAGCTTGGTTTGATAGTTCAGAATAATCAGACCACACACTTCACAATAATGATGCCAGCAATCAAGTCTTTTAGACCAATTTTAATGAAGGTTTTCTGATAATAATGTAAAATTATCTTTCCATTGAGATAAGATTAACATTGTGATGTTATTGAAATCTGAATTAAAGGAGTCATCTAATCTAACTCAGAGTTGGGAACCAAAAAAAAAGTCTTTATTGTAATTACGTACTATACTTGAAGCTAAAGAACTGTTGCAACTTGGTACATACAAAGATAAGCTCTGACCAGTAGAATCTGAATATGAAATCATCTGCTCTGGCAAGGGCCTCTTGAATCTAGTATGCTTTTAAAACTGTTTCAATCATCTATTGCTACAAAATAAGCTGCTTCCCTGGTGGCTCAGTGGTAAAGAATCTGTCTGCAAATGTAGGAGACACAGGTTCAGTCCCTGGGTTGGGAAGATCCCCTGCAGAAGGGAGTGATAACCCACTCTAGTATTCTTGCCTGGAAAATTTCATGGACAGAGGAGCCTGGTGGGCTACAGTCCATGGGGTTGCAAAGAGTTGGACGTGACTGGGCATGTATATAAGTCATCCTCAAATTAGTGGCTTAAGACAGCAGCATTTATTTTGCTTAGAAATCTTTGATTTGGGTTGAGGCTTGGGGAGAGCTTGTGTCTACACCTTATGACTTACCTGGATTGGCTCGAAGACCAGGGGCTGGAATCATCTAATGAAGAGAATGATAAACCTTTTCTGTAAAAGATAAGATAGTAAATTATTTTTACCTTTGCAGGCCATAGAATTTCTGTTATAACTGCTAAAGTCTGTTGTAGACAAAGAAATAAGACATAGAAAGAAACCATTGACAAATAAGTGAGCGTGGTTGTGTTCCAATAAAACATAAACACAGTCAATAAGTCAGATTTGGCCTACAGGTCAAAAATCTGCCAATCCCTGATCTGAAAACTTGTTTACTCACATGCCTGGAACTTGACTCTGGCTTCTGACTCTTATCTGAGTCTTTCAGCCAGAATGCCGACATGTGGCCTCTCCATGGGGCCTAAACTGTGTTCCAAAGAGAGCAAGAGCCAGGAAGAAGTTCTATCTTTTATGACCTAGCCTGGGAAGTCATGCAGCATCATTTTGACCACATTCTATTTATTGAAGCAGTCACAAAGGACCACTGAGGTTAAAGGGGAGGAAATACAGACTTTACCTCTAGAGGGGATAGAGACAAGATTCTGAAGGAGCATGTGGGATTAGCATGTGGGATCTGCCATGTGATGATTCAATTCTCCCACTAGTTTTCTAGTTTTGTTTGTTTGGTTTTTTTTTACATTCAAACCATTTCAAAATCCTCACTTATACAATAAACCCTGATGTCATTTGGGCTTCATTTGTTATGAAAACATTCACTAGCACAACCTCTGGTACTGAAATTTCATGGAGCATTCTAAAAGTCATCCAGATGATTCAGAACAAGCTAAAAATTTATATTATCACTAAAATAAAGAGCCAAATTTAAAAAAAAATCTCAAAGAGATCTTGTGGTTCTCTGAGAATATCTTCTCCATTTGAGAAACACTAATCCAAGACTCAGGCCACAGGGGAAAACAAATTCCTCCCAGCCTTTACAGGATCCAGTCCAACTTCTCGGAATGAAGGTTGAAAGTCCTGTAATCATAAGCTATGTGCATTTGCTGCAAAAGTCCTCGCCCCAGAACTCCCAGGGGAGGCTGCAGTCCAAGGATTTGGTGTTGTCCCCTCAGAGACACTGCTAACAAGCCCCTCATTGTTTTTAACCATTTTCACTAGCGATGTGGTGTTTCAGCAGCCTCTTCACAGCAGCGTGGGGAAAAGGTTCTCTCCTTTAATATCAGTTGTAATCTGGATAGATATGCCTCAACTTTCTGGATCATCTTCCAGAAGTCTTTCTTCAGGTTTGTTTGGTGTCCAACCTGGAGGACTAGACACCTGCTGTGGGTAGAAGAGAAATCATGGGAACTCCTTCCTGCTTAACCATCTGACTTCTCTTTCTTGAGGATCTGAACAAACAGATCTTAATAACACTGCCCATTCTGACAAAGACTTGCTGAGATCTTCATTCAACAATTTCAGTGGTGGAAGAAGATATGGGAAGCATGTCTTCAGGTCTGGAAAAACCCCATTCAGGGAATCTGAGGTGGTTGGACTGAGATGCCATAGCTGAAGTCCATAAGAGACCTCAGTGAGCATCAGGCAAGATGGCGGTAACAGCTCATACCTCATCTTCATTCTGGGTTGTTGAATGTTGAGCTTTTCACAGTTGGTCCAGGGACTGAGGATGAGAGGCCCCGTTGGTGTGGGGCTTTGGAGACCTTTACCAAGCAGCTAGAAGGGAAGTAGCAGCATATCCTGAAGGTGAGGAGATACTTGCTGCTGCTGCTAAGTCAACTTCAGTTGGGTTTGACTCTTTGTGACCCTATGGACCGTAGCCCACCAGGCTCCTCTGACCTTGGAATTCTCCAGGCAAGAATACTGGAGTGGGTTGCCATGTCCTCCTCCAGGGGATCTTTCTGACCCAGGGGTCAAAGTTGGATCTCTTAGGTCTCCTTCATTGGCAGGTGTGTTCTTTACTACTCGTGCTGCCTGGGAAGCCTGGGGAGACACTGGTTAAAACTAATTTGCTGTTTCTATTGCATTTGGTACCTGGGAGGCTTAGCTGTGGGCCCTCCCTTTCTCCTGTATGTCTCAGTAAGGGGTCTCTATCTGAAGATGCTTTCCCTCTATCCTGCTGCTCAATCCCCTACTGAGAGTCAGACTCTCTTTCTGTGACTCATGTAGTTGCTGTAGAGATAATTCTGATGTCAGAAGCAGAGGCCATTGATTGGAGAGGAGGAAAGCAAAGACTATTCAGAAACAAGTCTCCTCTCATCATGCAAATACCCCTAATTAAGAAAGCCAGACAGATTCTGTGTCATGGAAACATAATTTCCTTTGACTCAGTAAGTTCCAGGAATTGCTGCAGGCTATCAACCTTTCATGATTTTGGGGGTTAAATGTCCTCATCTTCATTTTGAGTTTTCTTGAACAAAAGTGAATTCAATCTGACATTTGTGAAATATCTCATATGTGCCAGGAGTGGTCCTAGTGACTTTAGAAGTAGGTATGAATAACAGAGTTCCTACTCTCAAGAAATTTACAACGGAACAAATTAATATTTAAGTGGTAAACCCTGGATGCTCTGTGGATCCTGGTAGAAAGCTAAAAACCGTGGATGCTGTTATGGGTTGAGGCACTAGTGGTAAAGAACCCTCCTGCCAAAGCAGGAGCCATTCTCTGAATGTCTTTATGTTCTGAGACATAAGAGACATGAGTTTGATCCCTGGGTAGGGAAGATCCCCTGGAGGAGGGCATGGCAACCCACTCCAGTATTCTTGCTGGAGAATCCCATGGACAGAGGAGCCTAGTCGGCTGCAGTTCATAGGGTCACAAAAAGTCAGACATGACTCAAGTGACTCAGCATGCACACATGCATATGTTGAACTGTGTTACTCCAAAACTTATATCTTGAAGTCCTAAAGCCCCGGTACCTCATATGTGACCTCATCTCGAGACAGAATCTTTACAGAGGGAGTTAAGTTCCAGAGAGGTCATCGGGGTACACCCCAGGGAGAGGGGCCTGGAACAGATCCGTCACAGCTCTTGGAAGGAGTCAATCTTGCTGACATCCTGATTTTAGACTTCTAGTCTCCAGAACTGAGACAATAAACTTCTGTTTTTTAAGTCACCCAATCTGTGATACTTTGTTGTCACAGACCTAGCAAAATAATATAGATACTCAGTGGCCCCCTTCTGCTTTTGTACAAGCTGGTGAGGAAAACCCTGGGTGAATGTGAATTAGATGTTTATAGAGATTGCATTTAATAGACATTTGATAAATTCATTCATTCATTTATTTACTCATCCATTTCTTATCTCTTTACCCCCCAGTTTGTTTATTTTTTTTATTGTATTTACCACTATATGAGAAATTTTACCTTTTGTTGGCTTCTTTACTGTTTCTCCATCTGCTTCATGATAGAGATGAGGCAAACATCTGTTGAAGAAGAACTTGCCCTCTCTTGTTCCCTTTCCTTTTTCTTTCCATTAATACTAAAGCACCTCTTACATCTACTGGGTACACAGCATTCCATGCTCATCCCTGTCAAAACATAAAGACATTCAGAGAATGGCTCTTGTCTTTGAGGAGTTTGTGATTTCAGATTCTTTAGAGGTGAAGAATATCCACATGAGGGGCTACACTCCTCACGTGGGTGAGTGTAAGCTGGGCGACTGTGGGATCACTGCTGGAGCAGAGAGCAGGTGCCATGGGCTGAGATGTATGGAAAGGCTCCCAGAGGAGGAGGGACCCACCCACAGGAGATGAAGGGATAGAAAAGGAGAGAGTAGGGAAGAAGAGAATATCTATAATCCGTCTATCTTCCCTAACCCATATACTTATGAAGGAGTTGGATTACTCCAGGACAGGAGTTGGGCAGATCATAAGGATGCTCACCTGGTAAAGAACCTGCCTGCAATGCAGGAGACCAGGGTTAGATTCCTGTGTTGGGAAGATCCCCTGGAGAAGGGAAAGGCTATTTACTCCTGTATTCTGGCTTGGAGAATTCCACGGACTGTACAGTCCATGGGGTCACACAGAGTCAGACATGACTGAGTGACTTTCACTTTCACTTTCTTTCAAGGATAGCGATGGTGGCAGGACCCAGAAGCTTCTTTCTTGTATGGAGATCAGAGTCAAAACCCAGGTGCTCTCAACTCTGGCTGCACAAGAAAATAACTTTGGGAACTTAAATACTAGTGTCAGACCCTCCCTTGCTCCGGGATATCCTGGAAGTTACAGGCAGGGCTTCAGAGGAAAGAAATCCTTTTATTTATTTATTTATTTATTTTTCATTTATTTTTATTAGTTGGAGGCTAATTACTTTACAATATTGTAGTAGGTTTTGTCATACATTGACATGAATCAGCCATGGATTTACATGTATTCCCCATCCCAATCCCCCCTCCCACCTCCCTCTCTACCTGCTCCCTCTGGGTCTTCCCAGTGCACCAGGCCCGAGCACTTGTCTCATGCACCTTTTAGAATGTAGATTGACAGCAGTGGCTTCTGCATGCAAGACCCAGGTCACTAGGCCCAGTCATGATACTCCTGTAGTCCCACAGTGACAGGGATAGCTGCTGGAAATACAACATCTGGCTCCATTCTCTGGTAGGGCCTCTTTTCCTGAGTGTAAAAGTACCTGCTTGTGACATCAGAAGACTGTTGATAGACCTGCATTCTGTTTCCAGTTCTCCACTATATTTTATGGTGGTAACAGTAGCACAAGAATAGAAACATCTGACTTCCCTCTTTTTTTAGGACCCTCCAGCTTTTTGTAGGTGTTCATGGATGGGAACTATCCAGAGGAGAGGTTTTTGCTGTTGCTGATTTTTGTTTGTTTGTCTGTTTTGAGGATGCTGGGGAAATTGCACCCTGAGTTTTCAGGGATCTTATTACTTGGGTCCTATTAGCTTAATTTCTTCCAGCATTATCTTCAAGGCTCTATCATAATGCTTGGAATATAGTGGACTCTCAACTAATGAGACAGTAGAGATCTTCTGAAATGCTAAACTTTCAAGTACAGTCTGAGAAAAAAAAGCTGCCAAATTCTTTTTTGTTTGCTCAAGATCCACTTGATACAAACAGAAAGGTGAGAACAAACAGTGAGTTGATCAGTCTTCAAAATAAACCTAGAAATGCTGATTGAGATCTCTGAGGTATTGGGCACTGTGCAAGATGTTGTGGGCATGCGATGATAAATCAGACATGGCTTTGACGTCTGATAATCTAGTTGGAGAGGCAAGAAATGAATGTGTGAAAAGTTAACATGAAGGACTTATAGAACTGCCCAAGATAATAAATTCTGAGACCAGCTGGAACTGGTCAGGGGAACAAGAGGTCACTTCAGGCTGGGGTGTGTAGAAGGAGGGAGAGAGGGGCTGGTATGACCAAAAGTGAGTGTTGAGGAGGGTGCTGGCAAGCTCTGCTTACCATATAGTAAACCCATTTGGTGGGAGACAGGAGGACAGATTTAGGCAAGTTGAGGATGGGGGAAGGTAGAACTCCATAAGGAAGGGCCTTGAATCCCAAGCCAAGGTGAGAGCTCATCTTGCAGGAAGTGGGAGCAATGAAAGTTTTTCAGCAAAGTGGAGGCTGGGGTTGAAGAGATTCCATGGCCCGTTCCCAGTCTCCCCAGAAGCCCTGTGGTCTCACGCCTTTTAGTCATCATGGGGTTTTCTGCAATCCTTGTCCAGCATCATCTTTTTGTGTCACTTAGAGTGCACAACTCTTAAGAGAAAACTTTCAGTCTGGAGGACTGGGTTTGGTCTTTTTAAACAAGGGACTTTCTTATGTTCAGTATCACGTGTGTTTGGCACTGAACTTCCTGAAGCGGGCAAAAGTGGCCGGGTACCTTTAGAAAGTTCCCTTCCAGCCTTCACGACCCTGTTCAATGACTCAGCAATGGAGGGTTTTGCAATAGGCTTACAGAACCAGACAAGCTTGCTTTCCCTAAGGAAACCTTGGTGTCCTAAGAAAACCTCAGCCTAGGTCCCTGGCCTGCTGGGTTGAAATTCCTTCTGTCTTCTGGTAGCATGCATGGAGCACATGCTCTGGGGCATCCAAAAAGGGCTCTGGAATCAAGTCAGATTTCAGTTAAACTTTGGCTCCATCTCTAACCAGCTAAGTTCCTTTGGGTAAGTTACCTAACCTCTCGCAGTTACAGTTTTCTCACCTGTAAAACAGAAATCATTAACTATTCTGTGGGCTGCGGTATACGGAGTCGCACAGAGTCAGACGCGACGGAAGCGACTTAGCAGCAGCAGGGCTGTTTTAAGTCTTAATGAGAGAAGTGTCAGTGACACAAAGTTTTGCTGTTGTTATTCAGTCACCAAGTTGTGCGTGACTCTGCGACCCCGCGGACTGCAGCACACCAGCTTTCCCTGTCACATAGTAGCTTCCTTGACACATACTAGGCTCCCTACATATTTTTTTCTATTATAAAGGGCATAATATTCTGTAAATGAAAGTAGCTGCCTTTTGGCTCCACCCTAAAAAAATCAGACTTCTGACTTTCAACTGAAACTTTCCCTAGGCCTGCTCTAATATTTGAGTCCTGCAAATGAATGTGTTCCCCACACACAGTGAGTCTGACCTGGAAGGGGTTCAGGGAGAACTTTCTGTTGTCCTAGAAGTAGGCTGAACCAAAGGGCCATCCTTATGTTACCAGATCTTTTTAGAAGACCCTTCTATCAGGAATAAACTGAACACAGGAATGGGGATTTTAGTATAAAGCAAGAAAACATATAGAGGCTTTTAAAATATAAAGCTGTATTTCCCAAACAACATTCTAAGACAAACATTTATATAATGTTTACTAGGTTCCAGGCATAATTCAAATCAATAATTAATATTAATTTATTTAACCCTCATATTTATGTGAGGTAGGTGTTATTATCCCAGTTTACAGTTGGGGAAACTGAGCCACAAACAAGTTAACCAACTCGCTGAAAGTCACACAGTCCCATGGATGACTCTAAGCCCCGGTAGACCATGGGGAAATGTACTGTACCAAAATTAGTGGAGAGCACATTTAAAGGACTTCTTTTGAGAAAGGGTCCAGGCATCATCACAAAGCATTTAAACAGTGAATCAATAGCACTTTCGTTTGCTCCAAGTGAAATATCTAAGCTCTGCTTCCCAGGTGACCTCGGTTCTTATGCATGGCCTCCCTGGGGTCCCCCTTGAGACAGTTCAAGCGAGGCCACTCTTGTCTTGATTTGTTTTGACAAACGCCTGCTGAGCATCAATGCATGCACCACAGTGCTGGGTGCTGGGGACACCAAGATAATTATAAGAAGTGGCAAGCAGGTAGCTCACAATCTAGTACATATGAATCCATGGTTATGTATCCACTGAAGAAAGGGCTCTGCAAGGATTTCCTGGCCTTCTTCATAGAAGTGGGCCCCACTTTTGCTCAGTTCAGACCAGAGCAGCCCGTTCATTTACAAGAGAGGCAATGTCTATGGACAAATCTAAGTAGGTCCCTTTTGTTCTTTACTTTCTTCCCTCCTTCACCCACCCCAGTATTTTTGCCTGGAGAATCCCATGGATAGAAGAGCCTGGCAGTCACAGGCTGTCAGGGGTCAGTCACAAAGAGTCAGACCTGACTGAAGTGACTTAGCACACATGCTTCTTTGCCGTATCTCCCTCATCTCTCTGTTTTCTGGATTTCTTGTCCTCCTGCCCTCCTGCTCTTCTCTTAGTCACCTGCAGACCTTTTCAGGGCCTTTCCCAAGTACTTATTCTCTGAGCTTACATGTCTTGCTAGTATATTTAGACATCCAAAGGTAAGTCAAAGAATAAAAAGGGTTGGAAAGTATTGACCCAGATCTTGTCAAGCGCATAACAGATTATTTTGAATCATGACACTGGCATTTCTTATCTCTTCATGACCTCCATGGTGAACTGAACATCCCAAGATGTTCCCTTAATCAAATGCAGTTTGGCGAGGGGATGCTAACATCAGAAATAATTCAGGGAGAAAGACAGAAGAGTGGGTATTGAAGGTGAAGAAGAGCCAAGTTTGAGGGCAATGAGTAACCTCTCTCCTGCTTTCAGTCCCCAAGTTGCCACCTCTGCATTAGACTTCCCTTAACAAAGCCCAGATGGTGTTCCTGGGAAGAGTGCAGCAGCCAGAGAGAACAGAGACACTGTTTTGTTTGGGGCTCTGAGAAAGGGGGAGATGATGCTGAGAAAGAGGAGCAGACTGTCTTCCTGCTAATACTGTGTGTAACTTAGTTACAAGCATGGGAGGAAAGCATCTTTATTACAACAACCTTGTTTCTCTTCCATTAACTCTTGTCACTTTACCTCCCCTACCCCTAAGAGACTTAAAAGTACTGTCATTTTCAGAATTCAGTCACCTCTGTGTCTTTCAGTGATGTTTCTTGCTCTTACCTCATTGAAAAGCAGTGAAGCCAGATGGCCCTGCCTCCCTTTCTGCTGCATTGCAAGATCCATTACAGGTTCTTTGCCTTCTTTGTTTCCTTGCTTTCCTTGGTTTCATCCATTTATCTGCCCAGAAATCCATCCATCAAACATTTATCAGGTTCATAATTTGTGCAAAGCTCTCTAATGGCTACTCTAGAGGATACGAAGATGCAGAAGACACACTTAGAGCTTTCAGGAACTTGTAGTCTGTGAAGGAGACACATCTAAATATAATAAATACAGACATAGAAGAGATTTTTGTGCAACCTGCATTGGCTTTTCTCTTTACCATTTTAGAAGTGATAGAGTTTGGTAAAAACATGTCTCTGACATCTGATGCCACTGTTTTCCTATCTATTTGCCATGAAGTGATGGGACCAGATNCAGCATAGTACTGCCCATGAGTCCACCTCAAAACGCTGCTCATGAGATGACATGAGAAGATAGTTCTAAAGGTCTTTGAGAAATTAAAAATGTTGCTAATGTAGACAAGCAGGAAGAAAAAAAAGGAAAAGTTCTCTTCGGGAAGGTTCATTCATGTTGCTTACAGTTACGTGATTGGGGATGACAGAGGATGAGATGGTTGGATGGCATCACTGACTCAATGGACATGAGTTTGGGTAAACTCTGGGAGTTGGTGATGGACAGGGAGCCCTGGCATGCTGTGGTCCATGGGGTCACAGAGTCAGACACGACTAAGCGACTGAACTGAAGTGAACTGACATCTGATGCTCTATTTTCCTGAGCTCTGGGGAGGCCACACTGATCATTTAAGGAAAGAGAGTTGACCCGGGCCAGAGAAAGGGCAGACTTTGGGACTGGGATGGACACCTCCAGTCCCAAGATTTCAATCAGCAAAGCAATCTTTCTTAATTGGGTAAAAAAGAGGCTGGCTCCATGCCAGACCTTGAGACCAATAGAGACAGGCACAGTCTCAAAGACAGCAGCAGAGGCAAAGTTTCCTTCCCCAGGATTTCTCTGCACCAAGTTTTCTGCCCTTTCTTCAGGACTGCAACAATCAAGAATTGGCCCAAAGTCATGGCACACACATCCCTTTAAGACCTTCATTGGGTTAGCTGGTCTTGAGTAAAAGATCCAGGGGAGGAGCTGGTGAGGAGTTGGGGCAGAGGAGGCACAAAGAGGAAACAACAGATTTGCAGAGTATTTTGGGGCAGGCAGTTGTGGTGCTTGGCACACAGTTTTCCAGACAAATGATAAATAAGGAAATTAGGATAGATTCTCCATCTTTTCAACAAAGTCTAGCAAGCATTACAAAGTCTAGGTGAAATGTATGATACAAGCTTCTTTACAACTAAGTTTGAAACATGGGCCCCAAAACACCTTTCTTCATTTAACTGGGGGATGTTGTTTTTACCTGCGGATGCTCAGGAAAGGCTGAGGAGAGAGTGAATGCTCTACCTGAGTCTTGAGGGATGAGTAATTCACAAGGTGCACAAAAAAAGAGAGAAATTCTAGATAGAAGAGGCATGGTGATATAGACGGGCTGGGATGGGGGAACTGAGGGTGTAGGAGTGGAGCGAGTGAGAGGGCTGCCGTATCACACACTCCTGAATAGTAGGCTGCTAGTGGTGACTCGGTGGGGGGAGAGGAGCTGAAGGAGGGGAAGCCCAAGCACAGGACCCTCAGTGGGTGGGAAGAGTCAAGGGTCTCAAGGCTCCTCTACCCACAGGTGTTCCTTGGATAGGAAGCTGCAAATGGAGATATCAGAGGAGTCTTACCAGTGGAAGTGTGGTGGGAAATGCACTTGGATCCCATGGTAAGCCAACAGCAATTCTAAATGCTGCTTTGTTTCCACTCCTTCGAGTGCTTCAGTCTTGCCTGTACCCCTCCTCCCCAGTCCCAAACTACAATTTCTGAAGAGACTTGCCTTGAGAGTCATTTCTTTTATTAAGGCATCACTTGGACAGCATACAAACAGCACAAGCAGAAACTTCAAGCCCACACGCAGAATAAATTATGATATTTGTATTTAAAAGTGGACAACAGAAGAAGCTGTATTGCCAGGAGGGCCTCCTGGTCCAGTGTCTGGAGATTCACAAGGTGTCAGCAGCCAATGAGAGTTCATGATAACATCTTCTGCAAGACATTTAGAGCCAAATGCTCCCCTCCGGATGTATCTAATGAGGCCCATGCTCCTGCACACAAGCATGTGTACACATGCAGATACACACACAGGTTAGGGGCAGGGAATAGCCTGTAAACAACTAGCTCAGCAACAAGTGAAGTGGACCCAGCTGTGTTTTCTCTGTGGCTCTGGCAGCTGACAAGACCCTGGTACTTATCTCTCACCAGCTCCCCGGCTCTGTGGGAGGTGTGGGTGGGCTCCCAAGGCAGTGAGGCAGTGGCTGGCTGCTTACTTAGGTGAGGAGCCCAGTTTTGTCATCCTGAACTGCAGGTTGAGCACACTGCAGTTTCCCACGCTACCTTTGCTGTCCAGCCTGCCACACTCTGACTGCCACTTCCAGAGGAACAAGTGAGGAGATGTGCCCCAGGGAAGTGTATGCACTTGCAATCCTGTGGGCTGTGGCCAACTCCCCACATGGGCCCCTTTCCAGCAGTGTGATGCTACGGAAGCCACCTCCATCCTCTCAAGCCTCATAATCCCCACCTGTAAAATGGGGATGAGAGTACCTACTTCACAGGGCTATCATAAGCAATTACTGATATTTGATATTTCCAAGTACCATGCTAGTCTCAAGGTAAATGTGCAAAATCTGTTTTTTTTTTTTTTCCTTATCTTCTCCCCCATTTCTTCCTTTCTATTTTCCTGATTTCTATTTCCAGGTCAATGTAGCCATCAGTGGTCATGTTGGCCCAGCTGGCACCCTCTTGACCAACAGGGCCTCTCCAACCTTAACAGGGATTGCCAATGCACACTTCCCACTACCGCAAAACTGCACCACCAGCAGGGCCAAAGAAGAGGGGTGCCTCAGGTGCCACCCGAGCCCAGGAGAGAGATCCAGGCTGCCTATCTCATCAATGATGGTGAGGTGCCACAATGGTATGAAGACATGAACACAAAACAGAGATGTACAAGTGGCTCTGAGATGAGTCTGACTGGAAGCTGGAACTGAGAGGTGGTGTTGTTCACAAACTTGAGCAGAAACAAACCACCCCCTGCCGAGAGTGGACCATCCAGTCCATAGGAGATATTTTCCTAGCAGGTTGGCCACCAAAAAGCCAATTTGATGAATCACAGTCCACAACTCTGGTTCTGCAGAAATTTTCTTTCCACTTCTCCATCTGTCTGTCCATCCAGCCATCCATCTGGTATATATGGAGTTTTGTACATTGCAGGCTGACCAGAACAGAAGACCCTTTGTGCTCATTTAGCACCTTTTCATCTAAAGGGTATCTTTTATGGGCACTCAGCTGGAGTCTTTTACAGGAGTGCTGTGAGGTAGTAACAAAACAGGCAATATCCCTCTTTGTGTAGATCAGGAAGTGCTCAAGGTACCATGGTGCTCAAATTAGCACACGAACGCGGTAAGGGCACTGGTCTGTTCCCTGAAGGCCACAGCGGACCATGCTATGGCTTATCTCGACAGAGCCCTAGGTCCAGACTTGCTCTGATGTTCACACCAGTGTGGGTTTCAAGTCATCTTTGAAGTTCACAATAGGCTTAGAGCGGGCCCACAGCTTTTCCCAGGAAGCCAGCGCCCCCGCAGGCTCAGGGTCGGTATCTGACGAGCCACTGTCACTGGAGTCAGAGGAGCTCTGGAAGCAGATCTCGCAGTAGGGCCGGTGGCAGCGGCAGAAAAGCTCGTCTGAGCTGCTGGATTCGGTGTCAAGGTAGCTACTGGGAGAAGACAGGGAGGGGCAGCCTGGGGACCCTGGGGGCTGCCGCTGCCCAGGCAGGTCGGGGGAGGCCCTGAATGGGCGTGGGGTAGCGGGACATAGCTTCCGGCCAGAACCGGAAGACTTTTGGGGAAAGGATGCGAGGCTCTGTTCAGCTCGCCGGGGCTCTGCCTGGAGCTGTGTGCGGCCCTCTAGGGCGCCTGGCTTGCCTCGAGGAGCGGGGAGTACTAAAGGATTCCCAGAAGAGGGTCTTGCTACCTTGGGATCAGCAGTTTGGGGGTCCACGCAGGGGATGTCCCTGTCCTGTACATTTTGCCCATAAATGGCCCTGTTTACCCGATGCCCGACATAGGAGGGTACAGTGCCTAGAAAGTGTGAGCGAGCCCGCTGTGCCGCCCTCCTTCTCCTCACCATGGAGGGGCTGAAGCCCGGCTCCTTGGAGAGGGACACCTTCTGGGGGCTGTGGGCAGTGTTGCTCTTCCAGGGCTGCTGGGGACAAGACAAGGAAGAGGGGAGGGGAGCCCCAGGGCCCAGGCCCAGATCTTGGAGGACTTCCTGAAGTTTCTCCCTGATCACTGAATTGACTCTTGACATATGCTCTGGGGGCCCCTCTGAGTTCTCTACCTGCCCGTGTCTCTGGGGAACAGAGCCTTCTCCACTTTGCATGAGACACTGGTGGAGGGCCATGGGTACCTGGTCTCCTCTTTGTGCAGTCTGGCTTTGCTCAGCCCATGGCTTCTGGCTGCAGCCCAAATGTAAAGGATTAGAAAGGTCTTTCAAGTCAGAAATTTTCTGCTTCTGCCCTGTGGAGGGGCTGGTGTCCTTCACAGGCCCCCTGAGGCCTTGTACACTTGAGGCCAGCACTGAGGTGCTCTGGGAGTCCTGGGTGGCCGCACTGGTATCATTCGGAGAGTCAGAGAGACATTCTGAAGGCCCTTGAGGTGCCAGGCTATGGGCAGAGGCTGCGGCTAGGATGTCCTTGTGGTGGGAAGAGGCAGGTGGCACAGCCTCCTCTGGGAGGTCAGAGGAGCACCCTGCTGACATCAGTCTCACCAGCTTCTCTCTGGCATTATTTACTTGTTCTTGGAGGCTTTCAATCACAGCATTTTTCTATAAAACAAAAGCAAAACTATCAACAAAAGATGCTGAGGGTTTTCACAGTGTCTCCCATGATGGAGAGATCTCTGTTTAAGTCCATTTCTCCACATACTAACTGGTGATCTTAGGCCCTGAGGAGGCACCTTCTTGAAGTGAAATGAGATGATGCATATAAAGGGTTTAGCACAATAAACTGACATATGTGCTCAGTAAAGAGTAACTATCATTTATTGTTATATGATCTTAATCCCCCCATATGTCCCCAAACTGTAGCACTGTCTGCAAGAAGAGAGACTGTGGTGGTGGTGGGGCACAGTCTAGCTGCCTGCTGGCTGCTGCAGATCCTCTCAGAACTGAGGAGAGGGTCAGGTCGCTCTGTAGAACTGCAGTCTGAACAGTGTTTGGGATAGCCCATCTCTGGGTATATCAATCAAACTTTTGCAAAATACAGATGACTTTGAGGTGCCTGTGAAGGGGATGAAGGACTGGGGAAACAAGCATCCTACCTCTTGCTAAATAGCCTGGAAAATGGGGAGAACATGGAAATGATAGATTCCTGGGCCAGTGTGACAAGACTGGAGCCAGGGGTGGGGGTGGGGTTTAGGGTGGAGTGAGAATATCAGGTTGGTGTTATCACCTCCCTCTGCTGACACATGGGGGTGGGAGGCCAACACTGTCATGTGACACTATCAGCTGTTGGTATCTCCCAAAGAAGTGCAGGCATCAGAATTACTGGAGAAGTGAGCTGCCTACCTGCTGCATGGCTGTTAGTTGATAAAACAGGCTGTGCCTAGGTGGCTGGCAGGTGAGAGCTACAGAGATATGCCCATTCTAACTGCAGGACCATGGGGCACGAAGTAGGAGGAGGAGTAACAGCAGTGTGTGTTCCCTGAGAACCCTCTGGTGCTACAGCAGCTGACTGCCTAGTTCAGACCTGAGGTCTACCTTCTGAAATTTCTGTTTGAAGGCAGTGGAGCAGGAAAGAGATAATCATTCGGAACTGATGGTCTTGGGGCAGATGACATGGCTGAGGGTTTGGGGAAGGTAATAAGGAAATGCTCATCCAAATGACAAAATGCTGCCCTCTGTTGCCACCCCCTTTAGAAGTTCAAGGTGAGTATTTAGATGTCCATTTGTGGCAAGCATGGGTTTCCCTGGTGGCTCAGCTGGTTAAGAATCTGCCTGCAATGTGGGAAACCTGGGGTTCAATCCCTGGGTTGGGAAGATCCTCTGGAGAAGGGAATGGCTACTCACTCCAGTATTGTGGCCGGGAGAATTCCATGGACCGTATAGTCCATGGGGTTGCAAAGAGTTGGACACGATTGAGCAACTTTCACTCTATTGCAAGCATGCTCAGTTGCTCAGTCAAGCCTGACTCTTTGCGACCCCATGGACTGTAGCCCACCAGGCTCCTCTGTCCATGGGATTCTCAATGCAAGAATACTGGAATGGGTTACCATGCCCTTCTCCAGGGGATCTTCCCAACCCAGGGATCGAACCTGTGATTCCTGTGACTCCTGCATTGCAAGCAGATTCTCTACCCACTGAGCCACCTGGGAAGCCCATTCATTTATTATGCCCTTTGATAAAAGTGAAAGAGGANGAACTGAACTGAACTGAGAAATAAAAGGGTGTTTCCCTTCTTTAGGATTCCTGACACAAGTCACCTATGGACAAACCTGTGGTTTCTTCTCGAGTAGATATAGAAGAGTTAACTACTGTATAGCACAGGGAATGCTACTCAGTGCTCTGTAGTGACCTAAATGGGAAGGAAACCTAAAAAAGCAGGGATATATGTATATGTAGAGCAGATTCACTTTGCTGTATGGAAGAAACTAACACAACATTATATAGCAACTGTACTCCAACAAAAATTAAGAAAGATATGGAAGAGTTGCCCAGAAGTGACTCTTTGACAGAACAGTAAATTAAGTAAACTAGTCTGTCAGTAGTCTTCTGGCAGCAACTCCAAGTTTGCTTGGACTTATAAGCCTGGAGGTAACTTAAAAGCAGGAGGTGATTTTTCTGACTATGGTACTCCCAGTTTCATCCTGATTCAGTCTGCTTCTCTTATCCTTGGGAGAGAGTCCCAGACCAGTGAGCAACTGGTGAATAAGCGGAAGGACTTGTAGCAGAGCGCCTGACTGCCTGTTCACCCTTCTCAGGCGCAGAGCAGTGAGGGCTGGGTGTTGTCGGGGAAACACAGGTGATTCAAGGACTTGCCAGGAGAAGAGTGGGTGAGTCACAGGAAGACATTCACTAAGGCTCTTCGTGATCACTGGGTGGTGCCAGGTGTCTCTCTGAGGGGGTGGCTGTGCTGGCTGCACTGGAGGTACCCCGATTCTCTTTCTTTTCATCAGCCCTGACTCGTGAAGCCCACCTCCCACATTCTCAGGCTGGCTTCAGGAGGCCTCTGCTGCCTCACAGAGGTGGGAGGAAGCCATCAGCTGGTGCCCACTGCCCCAGCAAGCAAACTGTGCTGCCTTCCTGTGCCTTATTTACAAATTCCTCAGTGTATGGAGTGGCATGTGCATGCTCAGTTGTGTCCGACTCTTTGTGACCCCATGGACTATGGCCCATCAGGCTCCTCTGTCCATGGGATTTTCCAGGCAAGAAATACTGGAGTGGGTTGTCATTTCCTTCTCCAGAGGATCTTCCCACCTCAGGGATCGAACCCATGTCTGTTGTGTCTCCTGCACTGGCAGACGGATTCTTTACCACTTGTGCCACCTGGGAAGCCTGTCACAGTATAAGAAAACAGTATAAACATTTGATCGGGAGGAATACTCTTCTCCAGCAAACCAAACATCTGAAGCTGGCTGGTGACAGATTTAGAAACAGTCAGACTAATCAGTAAATCTCCCTTCTTACAGAAAAGGAAGTGGAACTTTGTTTTCACCGTGGCTGCATACTAATCAGAGGCGTGGTTTGCCATTGTGAGACCAAAATCTGACAGACCATGGCGGCTGCATTGAAA